TTTTTTTTTTACATATATACAATTCAACAGAGTAGCTCAAAATTGAAGGTAAGACAATATTCTCAGTATTCTGGCTTCAAAACACACATCTAAAGACACGTCTGTTATTAGAGGACCTGAGTGTTGCTGTTCAATGGGAACTAAAGATAAAAGACAAGTTCTCAGCTGGGACAGGACTACATGATTATGACATACAGATGCTGACTGTACAAGGCAATGAGATGAAAGTCGTGAGTGTAGATGCTGCTGGGCTGTTGCATGCCATGAGAATTCAGTCTGTCAGATCCAGTGTTCTGGGAACCTCGGTGCAGGTTTTCCATAAAGATTTTCCTTTGTCATGTGTACCACCTGTGTCAACAGTAAAGCTTAAGTTTGAAGCCTGAGTGGCATTTGAGGGGCTTGTTGAATGATGAAGCATGCTTGCATGGGTTTGCTGTGTTGCTGTATTTACTGCACCCAATTTTCCCACAAAGAGTTATAATGTGAAGCACATGTTGCTGCCAGTAGCCTGGAAGCATGTCTGGAGAATGTTTCAGAGCAACACATGCTGCAATTGTCTTGGCAGAAATACTTATAAAAGTTAACTTACCTAACTTAAGTCAACATAAAATGTTTCTTAGTTTCATCACGTTTCTCTACAGAGTTTTATTGCTAATGACAGCAGATCTATTACCATGGCAGCCGGTAGCAGGTGTACATAGGGGATGCAATAAGGCAAGAAATCAAAGCAGTGGGTGGTAACAATGGCAGCAGCAGTGGAAGTGCTTATTCAGTGCCTTGAGATACTAAAGACTTTTGATTTGGAAAGCATCTGTCTGCATAATGGCTTTTTGAAGATTTTATCTGTCATAATTCTTTTCCCCTCTGGAAACAGGCAAATATCAAACATACATGCAATTTCACAAGCAGTGTAAGAGCCGTAGGTATATGGTTTCTAGCCAGTTCAGAATGATAACTTGTAAGTCTGAACATGCATGAGCGTAGGCTTTTCTTCCAAGGTGCTTAAATGAAAATGTATTTAGAAAACTATAATTGGGCAATTTATATTTTTGTGCCATGAAAAATTTATTGCACCCTGCATGATTTCTTAGCGTTAGTGCGTATTTGTCAAACCCCCAAAAAGCAAAAAATGAAATTTTGCATCAGGTTAAACACATTTTAGCATGAGAAAAAGCAACATGAATAAATACAAAATGTGGTTCTTTAATGATTATTTAAGGGGGGAGGGGGGGGGGATCCAAAGCTTAGTTCATTTTCACTAGGCATGCCCAGGCTTGATTAATGCCATACTCGATAAATCCTGAAATCACTTAAAAAGAACCTGTTTGACAAACCTGTTTGCTAAATGATCTCAGAAACTAACACATCATGACTCTTTCTTTAAAAAAAACAACAACAAAAAAAAACTGTTGAAAAACAATGTCAAGAACAGAGTCTGGAAAAACTTTGGACTCTACTGACCCACATGAAGAGCCATTATTCACAAATGGAGAAAACTAGAAACAGTGGTCCAAAAGTGCCTCAATAACTAATACAACAGGTCACAAAAGAACCCAGAACAACATCTAAATGTCTGTAAAGGTTCTCAGTCATCAAGGTCATCCAAGTCTAAGGAGGGTCATGGATCTCCTATTGATCCTCTACCTTATCACACCCGTTTTCACACCTTGGCTCGTGTGATTAGGTAGACGATCAGTAGGGGGTGCATGACACTCCCATAGGGCTTAAAATCTGGGACTCTCTACGAACTCAAGAAGCTTCTCGGATGAGAGGTGAAACGTCTTCAAGAAACTTAAACAAGTGCAGACGCTTTTCTTTCCAAGCTCCTTAAACAACAACATCTAAAGAAATGCAATCTTTACTTTCCTCAGTTAAGGTCAGGGTTCAACAGGAAGAATAAGCCTGGACAAAAATGGCATCTGTGGGAAAAGTCCAAGCCAGAAAAACACATAAAGGCTTGTCTCATAGGAAGGCTTGGGCAGCATTACAGCTCAATAACTTAAATCATCATTTTGTGTTTACTCTGGTTATCTTTTTTAATATTAAAATTTGTTTGATTATCTGAAACATGTAAGTGTGACAAATGCCAAAGACTAAAAAATCAAGAAAGGGGGCAATTTTTTTTTTTTTTATTGCAGTGTACCATAAAAAGCTAATAAGCCAGTCTGTAGCATACAATCCAAAACAAGCAAAAACTAAATGTTGTTTTTACTCACAATTTCTTTAATAACTTTTTCCGCAACGTTTCTGTCCTGCAGGTTGTGAAGGTAGCGGGAAGCTGGAGAGTTAGCAATTAGCTGCAGCTGTGCTTTATTAGCCAGCTCGTTGGCTTCAGGCGTGATTCCTATGGCAAAGAAACGGACACCCTGGTTCTTGGCATCAGCCACAGCTGAAAATATGTCTGGGTTCCTTGGGTGAGAGATGCCATCAAAGAGCAGAATGGCCACCTTTACGCTGCTGGTATCTGACTCTTCTGAGTAGATGCGGGTCAAGTTAGTGATGGCATAGGTGGTGTAGGTGCCGTGGCCAATATACACAATTGGAGAAATTCGGGCCTTAAAGTCTTCTGTGCCTCGCCACTGTTTGAAAGTCTGCTCTATGATGACGTGACTGCTGTACTGAAGGAGGGCTGCACGGGAACTCAACCCCCGTCCAGTCTGCAGCCGCAGGCCCTGCAGCCGGTCCATCAAGTCTAAGGCAAAGCGCTTTTCCTGGGCATGGTTGTCCTTGGCGCTCTCTGAGCTATCGATAAGAAAAGCTATCTCCAAACTGCAGTCCTCATCAACAAGCGCTGCAAAGAGAGGAGTTAGGCTTTATGAAACATGCAATAGCAAAAATATCAGCTGCCTTAAACGGAAATCTCTCAGCTTTTAAATATTAATGAAGCTATTAGTGAAGAGGCAGGAGAAAACAAGACAAGAGAGCAGAGACGACACGTAGCAAAGGGCCTCAGGTCAGAATCGAATCGCATTATATTATATTATGTTTAACATATTACATTATGTTA